AATCGTGGACAGGAGCGGGGGCGCCTGATCGTAGCCGCTGCGGTAGTCATCGTAGGCGGCCCTGGCGCTCTGCAGGCTCTGCGCCCTGTAGGCAGAGCTGGTCAGGCCTCTGCTGCGGTGAGCAGGAACCTCACAGATCCCTCTTACTTTTTAAAAAAAGAATTATTTAACTTTTTATTTTTTATTTTAATTTGACCAGAGAGGGAGGGAGGGAGGGGGGGGAGAGAGAGAGAGAAAGTGAGAAAGCAAGCTGCCAGGTCCCAAACTCGAATCACGGTCAGCCATGTGGGAGTTCAGCGTCCTTAACCACCACACCACCAGCTGCCCCAAGATCTCTCATTTTTGAAGAGGGGAAACCCAAATGTAACTTAACTGGAAGTAACCTATGTGTTCACCAGAAAGGGAACAGTTAATTATAAAATACTACACTGGAGCATAAAGAACAAGGTTGGTCCACGGGTACAGACTTGCAAACATACCCACGGTGTAGCCCAGGACCCGAATAACCCGTGAGTCAAAGGAAAAGCACAGGGTGGTCAAGAGATCTCACAAACTCACCAAGAATGCAAATGCCGAAATGTGTGGGATGGAGCAAACGCCGCGTTCAGAGGGAGCTGTCTAGTACTAGATATGCATGCACTTGTGCAACTACGCTTGTACAGAAACTCTGATGAGCACATGTACCCTATTGCAAAAATCTCTCTTGAAAAAAAAAGAAAGCCAGCTCCCTGGGATGGCCAGTAAGGAAAAAAGAGTGAAGATGCAACTATTGCCAAGATGAACATCAGGGATGAGAGAGGGGCATCCCCACGGTCCCCCAGACATTACAAGGGCACCAAGAAAATCCTGCAAACAGCTCAGCGCCAGTGCGTTCGACAGCCTAGATGAATGACAGCTCCGTGGAAGGCAGGCTCCTGGTGCACGTTTGAGAGCAGAGTGCCTGAACAGTCCGTACCAGAGGCCGACCTGTAGCTAAAACCCTCCCACCCCACAAGACGCAAGCCCAAGTGACTTGACTGGGGAAATCTGTCAAGCGTTCAAGAAAGAG